AAAAATTAAAATTTTAATAGTGTTTAATAACTATTTTGTTTATCAATTTTAATCTTTTCTTTTTTAAATTTAATTTTAAATTGTGATTTTATTTAGAAATTTTCAATATTTTTTTAAAAAATTAAAATAATGATTATTTATTTACCTTTTCTTATTATCTAAAAATTGAAAACTAAATGAATTCAAAATAAAATTATTGCTTAATTAATAAGATAAACAAAATTAAAAAATCTTATTTAAATTTAATTTGAATCTTATAAAGCAAAAAAATCTTTTAAATTAAGTCATTTATTTAAATTTCAAAATAATAAATCAAAAAATCAAAAAATAAATTAAGAAATGGCATCCACCATGCGTCAATATTACAATCTATATTCATTTATTTTTATTTTGATAAAATATATTCAATTATGAGCATACCTCAATTTGAAACACTCTATTTATACTCTTCTTGAGTACTCCATTACGCCAAACAGAGATATGGGAATTTTCACAATGCTCTCGATCACGCTCTGCCTCCCGTTTTTCTTCCTCTGTCTTAAAACTGCCTTTTCATCCTCTTTACACCTCTGCTCTCATGAGGAGGCTGCTGCTTTGTTGCAATTCAAGACTTCCTTTCCCATCAATTACACTGTTTGTCCACCAGATTATTCTAAGACTGAGTCTTGGAAGGAAGGTATAGACTGCTGCTCCTGGGATGGGGTTAGCTGTGATAATGTCACAGGTCATGTAATTGCCCTTGATCTCAGCGATGATTGCCTTTCTGGCACCTTTCCTTCGAACAGCACTCTTTTTCTCCTCAAAAACCTAAAGAGCCTCAATCTTTCCTTCAATGATTTTAGGCTTTCCAAGATTCCACCAGAAATCAGTCAGTTTACTAGACTAAAGCATCTTGATATCTGTTATTCTGAATTTTCGGGCCAATTTCCAGCAGAAATTGCTCACCTCTCAAAGTTAGTTTCTCTCAATCTCTCTAACTTGTTCAGTTTTGAGTCTGATACTGTGGTCGTTTCGTCTCTTGGTAATTTGATCCTTGAAACAACTACCTTGAGAAATCTTGTTCAGAATTTGAGTGAGGTGAGAGAACTTGTGCTTAGTGGAGTGAACATGACATCTGTTAATCCTCGTTTCTTCATTAATCTCTCTTCTTCTTTGACTACCCTTGATCTTCGTTATATTCAGTTAAGAGGAAACTTTCCAAACAGTATTTTCCGCTTTCCAAATCTCAAGAATTTTTATTTAAGTGGATCTTTTGGAGAGCGAAACCTCACTATTGATCTTCCAAGTTCCAATTGGAGCAGTCCTCTCCAACAGTTGTATTTATCTGTCATGGATTGCGGAAGGCGATTGCCAGAGTCTATAGGAGATCTAAAGTCATTACAGTATCTGCATCTTCACTGCAACTTTGAAGGTTCCATTCCAGCTTCCATAGGTAACTTAAGGCAACTTACCTCTCTTTACCTTTCCAATAATCAGTTTTCTGGTCCCATTCCAGCTTCCATAGGTAACTTAAGGCAACTTACTAGCCTAGACCTCTCTTCTAACAATCTTAGCGGACAAATCTCATCATCACTTGCAAACCTCACCCAACTTACCTATCTTTCCCTTTCCTATAATCAGTTTTCTGGTCCCATTCCTTTTCATGCTATTAGGTTTTCCAAACTAATGTATCTAGGCTTATCTTATAACTTACTTAATGGCACGTTGCCACCTTGGATTTTCACCCTACCTTTGTTAGAGTACTTGTATCTCAATCATAACCAATTTCAAGGTCAAATAAATCAATTGCAGCAAAACTCACTCATAAGTCTAGATTTGTCAAACAATAAACTCCCGGGCTCAATTCCTAACTCAATTGCTAATTTAGTAAATCTTAGTCATCTTGATTTATCATCAAATCATTTTAGTGATTTAGTAGAAGCTGACATGTTCTCGGCGCTTCAAAATCTGGAAACCATCTTTCTTTCATACAATAATCTGTCCTTGAGAATGAATGTCAATGCCAACTTCACATTACCCAAACTAACTGATGTTTCCTTTTCTTCTTGTAACTTGAGTGAATTCCCCAATTTCATAAGACATTCAAACAGTCTGCAAAGCCTAGTGCTATCCAAAAATAGGATTCATGGAAATATTCCCGAATGGATATGTGAAAAGGATCATCTCCAAATTCTTGACCTTTCTCATAACAATTTAAGCGGGAAGATTCCAAATTGTCTTCCTAAGTCTCTCTCAGTGTTGAATTTGCAGGCCAATTACTTTAATGGAAATATACCATTTGGGTTTCCAGAGCGCTGTGTATTACGAAATCTCAACTTACATGGAAATCAAATGGACGGGCTATTACCAAGGTCTTTGGTGAATTGTAGCATGTTAGAGGTTCTAGACGTTGGCAACAACAGCATACAGGATACATTTCCTCATTGGTTGGAATCTCTACCAGAGCTTCAAGTGCTTGTCTTAAGGTCCAACAAGTTCCATGGTTCTGTGCAGAGCACCAAAGAAAGTCCATCTTTTCCCAAGTTACGAGTTCTGGACCTCTCCAGCAACGATTTTCTTGGTCCTTTGCCTCTTCAGTACATGGAAAATTTTAAAGCAATGATGGACTCTCATGGACAGGATGGTTCCCTTGAATACATGATGGTGGCGCCAGGTGGCAATTCTTATCAATATTCACTGGTTGTGACATTGAAGGGACACGACTATGAGCTGCAAGGAATCTTGACTGCATTCAGTAGTATTCATCTCTCAAATAACATGTTTGAGGGAGAAATTCCAGATGTAATTGGAAAGCTTAGTTCTCTCAAAGGACTTAATCTTTCTCATAACAACCTTACTGGTCATATCCCACCGTCACTAGGGAATTTGACGAATCTGGAATGGTTGGATCTCTCTTCCAACGAGCTGGCGGGGAAAATTCCTGATGAATTGGTATCTTTGACACAACTCTCTGTATTGAATCTTTCAAATAATCATCTCGTCGGACGCATACCACAAGGCAGTCAGTTCAACACCTTTGAAAATGGTTCTTATGAAGGAAACCTTGGACTGTGTGGAGTCCCATTGTCAAAATCTTGTGATGGAATCGGGACACCGCCGAGCTCCTTCCAAGAAAAAGATGAGTTGTGGAGATTTGGCTGGAGGGTTGTGGTGTTAGGCTATGGATGTGGAGTTGTTTTTGGACTGTTGATGGGATATCTTGTCTTCCGAACAGGAAAACCAAAATGGTTTGTGTCTTTGTTTGATGGCCGACCAAGTCAAAGTGGAAGGAAGATGAGGAAAGCTAGAAGACTTGTTCCAAGAAGAAGCTAGCTCCAGAGTTAATGTCTTAGACCTTCTGATTTAATGTTTCCTGAATAAGTGCTTTTTGGGTTATGGCTGGCATTGGCTTGTCTAAAATTGTCAGCCTTCTCTTGACTTTATTATGCTTTGTAATTTTGTCTTTCTTTATTGTAAAATATATTTGAAGGTTTAAGCTGTTAATCTTTCTTAGCAGACTCATAAAAATTCTTGTTTGGATTTTGATGGAATGATTTCATAAGTGGGGAATCTGGATTTTTGGATGGTTATCGTCTTGGGAATATAACTGTAATTGTCATGTTGGGAAGGGTAAGTCTTATGATTTGGGCTTCGGTCTCTCTCTCACACTCGCTTTCGGCAACATCTTCCTTCACAACAGAAAGAATCTAATGGAAGTAGCTTCCATTTCCACAGATGAAGGGACATTATCAGCATCATAGAATCACCTCAATTCCACCTCTTTAGGGTTCCTCTTCTATTATGAATCCCAACTCCTGCGTTCCATCTGCAGCAAATCCATCAATACCCATCCTATTCTCCCTCAACCTCTGTTTTTACCTCGTCACCTAGCATGATTTCAACGGGAAGAAGGAATAGGATTGGGAAAGGGAATACAGTTTTGGTTTTTTTTTTTTTTTTTTTTTGAATTTTTAACATTTCCCTTCAGCTATAACTATT